TGCTCTCATTGTTGGTGGACTCAATTTGCGTTGAGTGTGTCTCTATATCAATCAAGCATCCATCTTGATTGTGGTCGAGCTTCTACCCTTATATTGATAGAGCCTTCTCCCAGGTGTGCGATTGCATTTCAATTTCGCCTTATCCTTTTAGTTTTTTATGTTGTTGAGAAAAGTTCAGAAAGCTCTAAGGGGTCGTTTGGATTAGGTTTTTTTATGAGGGATTTTAATCACAATCTCTCATTCTGTAGGATTTTAAACATTTATGCGTTTGGTAACATGAAGGATTTTGCAATTAGGAATTTTCAAAACCTTCAAACTTAGGTTTTGTGAAATAGCTGATCACCATCAACTATTTACAAATCCCTCATTTTTATTTCATTTTTTTCCAAACCTTACCCCTTTGCCTGCTTCCCTCTCCCCTATACGAGACCAACAACCTTCCTTTTCCTTTTCTTTTTTCGTCTCTCTCCCAATTGATCCCGACGTCGTCGACGATTTCTCACTTTTGCAGCCAGAAACACGTCTTCTTTCCGGCAAATCGAGGGGCTCCTCGTTCAACTTCAACCCTGCGACCCGTCTTCCTTTCTCATCTGTACTCTATCTTAGCTTCTTCCTTCTTCCCTCCGCCGATGACAGCTAGCAATAACAAGGACGATCCCAGAGAAGTCCAGTCGTCGTCGAAATTTGAACTTCCCCAGTCCCTACGTCATCCCTTCCAAATCTCTAAGCCTCCCTTGTCTCATCATCATACGCCTTCGACCTGCACAGTTGCCTTCGATCTTCCCAGTTGACATGCAAGCCTCCTGTCGGCGATGACGAGTTCAATGAGTGTCGGGGAGTTCACAATTTTTGGATCAAGAAGACAGAAATTGGAATAAGAGGAAAGGGGGAAGAAGAACAAACCCAACGTAGAAAATAGGTTAGGAATTTGGGTAAAATTGTAATTGTAATTTTTTTTATTAAAATCTCTCATCTATTGCCAAACACGTTATTTTACCAAAATCATACACTTAAATTACCAGGGTTTTTAATGAGAGATTTGAGCCTCAAATTACTCGTTTTAAAATCCTTGATCCAAACGACCCCTAAAAGATTTTAGCTGTGTGATTTTGATAACTACGGGTGCCGATTCTGTGCTCATATCAAGTGGTATCAGAGTCCGGTTCAACGCAGTGGTAAGGAAGACAGAGATGATGCCAACCATGGAGCCAAACTTTGCAGACGACATGAAACAGCTTGCAGCACAAATGGTTCATATGGGAGCTTTGCTTCAAACTATGGTTGAAAAGAGTTCGAGTTATGAGGAAGTCGATGTTGAGCTAGAGGAGTAGCGATGACAACAAAACTCGAACCCACGGGTACCCACTCGATCCAACCCGGTCAACGCGGGTAAAATCTGTGTTGACGGGTTTATGGCCGGGTTTGGGTTTAAACCCGTTCACTATTCATTGGTTGGGTTTGGGTTTAGGTAAACCCGACCCATGGGTACCTGCCCACACTCATATAATTAATTTTCTCGGTATATTTAATATTCTAAACAACTAATTTTATTTAGGTTTGTGGAGACATGCCTAATTTTCTTTCTAATTGTGTAGAATGAAGTTGATGTTATCGAGTGGAGAGTGAAGAAACTTAATTGAAAGGAAGAAGCTTTCAATTAATCATGTTATTTATGGATAATTTTGATTTGCTTCAATTTTCTTGAGTTTTTTAGATTGGTGTTGAACAATTTGTATAATTAATTTGTGATTTGCTTGAATTTTCTAGAATGGTGTTTTATATATGGATAATTTGTATTGAGAGATTGATATTTGACTTTAATTTTGATAGGAACTTGTTATTGTAATTTTTTTACGACAAAAACCCGTGGGTACTGATAGACCATTGACTGCTCATGTTTTTACCCCTATTCTTGAGCCGTTTGAGATGTCGATTCCCGCGTTTTAGGCCGATTTCACGCTAGGTTGTCCGTGTTTGTGATATTTCAGGTCCTAGCACGTGAATGAAGGCTTGGGGACGAGTTCGGGGTCGATTGGACGAAGATTGGACTTTTGGCGAGAATCTGAGGAAGCCACACGGGCACGCCTAAAATCCCACACGGCCGTGTGACGTGGCCGTGTGGCACCATTTTACACGGACAAGCCACAATGGCCGTGTAGGGGACCCGTTGTGGCCGTGTGAAGGCTCAGTAAATCCCACACGGGCAGCCTGGGAAATCACACGGCCGTGTGGCCCTGGCCGTGCAGCATGCCTGGAAGCCCACTAATCGAAACGCCGTGTTTGAACACTCACACGGGCAGCTGGGAAAGTCACACGGCCGTGTGGCCTGGTCGTGTGATCGGGAATTTTTGGTTTTAACCCAATTTCCAGCCAAAGGAGAAGGGTTCCGAGTTTTAGAGAGAAAAAGTGTGACCTAGAGAGAGAAAGTGACGAACCTGATTCTGCAAGTGTCCTTGATCAATCTCCATCACCATTGGAGCCCGGCTTGAGCTTGGAAAAGAGATTTCTTAGGTTATTAAATAATACATAGTGCGATATAGTAAAAAAAGGAATTCTTATGGTGTCACCGATGCAGGGTCTTACGATCATGCACAGGCTGACTACTATGCACAGTGGATACACAGTAGCAACAAGGAAACTAAGACAGATAGGTACTCCCAAGGGGAAGGGAAGGAGATGAGAAGCTCCAGCTCCCTAGGGTTCTTCTTGCTAGCCCTTCTTTCGCTCCAGCTATGGTATTAAAGAAGGTTGCGTAGAGATCGATTGCCACATTGTCAGTGAAAAACGGAAACCTGGTCGAAAAGATGAAAGCATTCCATCTATCAGGCTGGTTAAGTAATCAATCATCCAGCTGAATTCGATATATGCTAACAGGCGTTGGTCCTCCCAGGGAAAGATAAAGTTCATTTGTATTTTTCAGTTAACATCGAGATCATTAGAACTTTTGAAAATAGCACGTTCATATCGTCGTGCTTAGTAGGCCAAGAGCCCAATGAACCGGGCGGGGCACTCTGATTGAGTGCCAAAAGCATATTCTCATCCTTCACAGTATGGTTTCCGCATCTGAGCTAGATTTCTCATCTCTCTCTATGGAGTAACTTTCCTATTCACCTGGGTATGAAGAACCCTAGATTTGTATGTTAGGTATGATGTCTGATTGTATGAACCCAAGTACAGATTCTATGATTTGATTATGTTCAATTGAGGTTTGAGTTATTGAATGGCATGAATCCTGATCAAATTCCTGTTGTTTCTGCTTTAACCTAGAAAGAGAATATCTGTCTAGGTTGATAGAGCATCCTTGATTGAAGGTAGTGAATTGGCGACTTTAGTCGAGGAGTCAATTCACTATTCTGTACCGAATTTACTTCGGTAGTGGAGGTTTGGTTCGTTAGGGCCTCAATCTGTTTACTCCGGTGGAGGTTAGTCGCCCACTGGGGACTCAAATTGAGAGGGTCTGGAGACGTTTAGTCGAGACTTCGGACTGTTTAAGAACCTCCCGCAGTATAACTATCATTGAAATAGAACTTGGTAAATTACAATCCGACTTAACTGCAGTCAAGGGGGAACCATATCCGGGTGACCTCTCTCGACTTGAAAACAACCTCTTTACTTGCTTTGCTTGTTTGCTTGTTAGGATCTTAACTAAAGTTGCACGGCTAAATAATAAGAACTCACGGAGTAGTCATCACATCTAGGACCCGGGTTGACATTAAAACCCAAACCCGCTATACTACGCTTTAGGATGTGGTTACACTTGGCCATTTTCTAGAGTGACGGTAGGAGCGAGTCAGGTACCCATGAACCCGCGGATACCCAACGGGTTGGGTTGGGTTTGAGTTTTTCAAACCCAGTGGATTGTACCCCGGGTTATTTTCACGGATAAACCCATGGGTTTGGGTTTGGGTTTGGGTTTGGCAAAACCCGACCCATTGCCATCCCTATAAAGGACGAGTCGAAGGAAGCTACTGATTTTGGCGAGTTCCATGAAGACAACAGAGTGGTTTCTCCAGCACGAAGCACTCCAGAACCGTAGAAGGAAGATGACGATTTCTACGAGATGATCACGATTGGAAAGGAGCAGACGGTTTATCTCGATCCTTTTTATGAGTATTGTGATGATGATTTTTCTTGCAGAAGCCCACAAGCTTTGAGCGCGAAGCTTTTCCAACGAGGCGGGACTGATGTGAGCAAGATATCCATCAAGAATGTCAATTCCCAAGCATTCAAAATAGTGATTAATTCGTGGAGGAATGACGAGCTGAACATGGCTAAGTGCGGAAACAGCTTCAAGGTACTTGTTTTGGACGCTTACTCATTTATATTGGGAGCTATTCGATGGAAGTTGGGCGTCGGAGGTGAGAGTACAAGTATTGCGAAAGATCATAAAGGCATTGGATGAGAAGATCAAAGCTTTCTGGACACTAAACGAGCAGCCTGAAGATCGTATGGTGACCAGTCAAAATCCACCGTTAGGGAGTCAATTCTATAACCGTGGAATAGAAGACGGACATGAGATTTGGGTTGAAGAGTTCCCCGACCAAGGACATCAATTCCACGACATTGGAACAGGAAGACAAATCGTGGGATAGCCACTAACGAGTTAAACTTACCTTGTGTGTTTATGATTCTTTTTCTTTTCGGGGGTTTTATTAGTTTTTGTTTCTTTGGGTCTATACAAAGGCTTAAACACGAGTTTTAGGTCATACTTTAATAATAGGGTAATGTCTATTTTTTATCCAAACATTTTTCAGATTCTTTTATTTTATCCAAACCTATTAAAATGCTATTAATTATCCAAATCTTTCGTAATGAATCAAAATATTAGTCATTTTTACGTTATCGTTAATAATTTTGTAACTATTTTCTTAGTTAAAATACTAAAATTTTGTAATGTTGACTTCAGGTGTCTCTTCCAAATCAATATCATGTTGCCAAGTCAATATTACTAACAAAATTGCTAACTGATAGTTAACATTTGGTTTATTCTTAGTGTTTGAGCCCAATCGACTGGGGGTCGCTCGGGTCCAAGGGGTTTGGGGTGTCAGCCATGACCTTGAGGGGGTAGGCGCCCCGCCTCGTCCGAAGTAGAAAAAGAGAAGAAGTATATAGAGAGAGAAAGTAGAGAGAAGTTAGAGTAAGAGTAGATAGATTGCCATTTATGAGGAGAGAACTCCTATTTATACACATTTGGGGGTTAGGTCGTGGTCTGGGCGCCTGCCAAGCCATAAATGCAGTGGTCGGGCGCCTCAGACTCTCTGACACTGTACATTGTACTTTTGGCAGGGGGTGTCCCCCTGCCCCTAGTCCTTGCTGATGTAAGGTGCCTGAACTTGTCTCCTTGTCTCTTGGCCTTGTCTTTTTCCCTTTGTCTTCTTTTCTTCATTATGTCATTAACTAGGCTCTTGCCTTGGGGATTGCTAATGTACCCTATCAATTGCCCCTTTTGGCGATGGCGCAAGTATTGCGGTATCGTCAAACCAGTCTGTCCTCTTCTGACACTGTACATTGTACTTTTTGGCAGAGGGTGTCCCCTCATACTCTGTCTTTGCTGATGTCAGGTGCCTGGCTTTGTCCCTTGTTCTTGTCTCTTAACCTTGTCTTCTTCTTCTGATGATGTAAGTCTTCTAGGGTTTTGCCCCTATGTCTTGGCTTCTCTTGGACTCTTCTTGTAGACCTTCTCCAAGTATTATACTTTACCTTCATACCCTATCAATTTCCCCTTTGGCGTCGGTATGAGTATCATGGCGGCGTCAACATAAAGTGAGTGTTTCACTAACCTTGCTTTCTCGTCTTCTCAATCAAGTGCCAGCTCTCTTTCTTTACTTAATCGGCACCAGGCTCTTCCTTTCAAGCGGGTGCTTCATTCCCTTATTAATCTTCTGATCTGTTGAGTGCTTGTGCACCCGCGTGGGTGTGCTTGCTTCCAAATAAGATGTAGTAAAATGATAAAGAATAAACACATGTCTCAAGTAACGAAGACTAGCTAAAGAAGCAATCATGCCCCTTTTATCCAGCGCCTGACGCTTGCATTCTTCCGCTCTTCATCAATTATTTCCCAAGTGACCACTTTTTCATCTTAGAGGATGCGCCTACACTCGTGTTAGAGGATTCAATCTATCTTGACAATCATATGAAATTGAAACAAACTTGTCAGTTTTCCTTTGAACACCATGTGCCTTGCCCATTTGAAACGAGCGCCTAGCGCTCTTTTCCCATTTTCTTCTTTTTGCCAAAAGATACCAATGATATTCAAATACTTTCCATTCATTGTCTGAGATGCTACATTTTTCTTTCGATTACTTGTGCTCTTGTAGAAGAGTGCTTGCTTCGATTCTTTGGCTAATCACTTGTCACCCAGCTTGTCGTTAGTTGCACTAAGACCCAAACTCAACGAGATGTCTGGCGACTCGCTCCTTTGCCGAGGTGTATGACCTTCAGTTGGGCGCCTGACACCTCACTGAAGAGTGAGGTGCCTGACCTTCATTGGGGTGCCTGGCGCCTCACTCCTTCGCTTATGTCTTTGATAAGCATTTGTCATCCAGCTTGTCGTTTGGTACCTTAAGACACAAAGTCAACGAGGTGAGTGGCGACTCGCTCATTTGCCAAGGTCTCTGACCTTCAGTTGGGCGTCTGGCACCTCACTCCTTCAGCGAGGTGCCTGACCTTCAGTGTCACTACTCTTCTTGTAGACCTTCTCCAAGTATTATCCGAGGTGCCTGACCTTCAGTTGGGCGCCTGACACCACACTACTTCGACGAGGTGCCTGACCTTCAGTGGGGCACCTGGTGACTCGCTCCTTTGTCGAGGTGCCTGACCTTTGATACGGCGGCTGACACCTCACTCCTTTGGTGAGGTGCCTAGCGACTCGCTCCTTTGCCTAGGTGTTGACATTTAGTTGGGCGCTTGTCACCTCACTCCTTCAGCGAGGCGCCTGGCACCGCACTCCTTCAACGAGGTGTCTAACCTTCAGTGGAGCGCCTGACACCTCACTCCTTCGGCGAGGTGCCTAACCTTCAGTGAGGCACATGGAGACTTGCTCCTTTGTCGAGGTGTCTGACATTTAGTTGGGCGCCTGACACCTTACTCCTTCAGCAAGGTGTCTAACCTTCAGTTGAGTGCCTGGAGACTCACTCCTTTGCCGATGCTACCCCCTTGCTTCAGGTAGCTTATTTCGTGCCTAATTTTTTGCAAGCGCTACCCTCCCTTCCTAGGCGCCACCCTTTACAATTTTTGAATTAGGGATTGCGATGCCGTGTGTCCTCTTCTTCAATCGGGGGAGACGCCTCTGCGCCCTTGTCTCTAAAATTATTGATCCTTTTCAGGCAACGCTCCTTCCATCCGCTAGGCGCCTTCGGAACTCGCGTAGGTGAGTTCCGCTTTGTTTTTCCTAGGCGCCACCCTTTACAATTTTTGAACTAGGGGTGGCGCCGTCGTTCGCCATGTGTCCTCCTCTTCAATCGGGGGAGGCGCCTCCGCGCCCTTGTCTATAAATTGTTGGCCCTTTTCATGCAACGCTCCTTCCATCCGCTGGGCGCTTTCGGATCTCGCGTAGGTGAGTTCCGCTTTGTTTTTCCTAGGCGCCACCCTTTACAATCGGGGGAGGCACCTTCGCGCCCTTGTCTCTAAAATTATTTGTCCTTTTCAGGAAACGTTCCTTCCATCCGCTAGGCGCCTTCGGATCTCGCATAGGTGAGTTCCGCTTTGTTTTTCCTAGGCGCCACCCTTTACAATTTTTGAACTAGGGGTGGCGCCGTCGTTCGCCATGTGTCCTCCTCTTCAATCATGGGAGGCGCCTCCGCCCTTGTCTATAAATTATTGGCCCTTCTCAGGCAACACTCCTTCCATCCGCTGGGCGCCTTCGGATCACGCATAGATGAGTTCCGCTTTGTTTTTCCTAGGCGCCACCCTTTACAATTTTTGAACTAGGGATGGCGTCGTCGTTCGACTTTTCTTCAATTGGGGGAGGCACCTCTGCCTCCTCGTTTCTAAAATTATGTATTTTCTCATGTGTCGTTCCTCCATTCGCTGGGCGCCTTCGGATCTCGCGTAGGTGGGTTCCGCTTTGTTTTTCCTAGGTGCCACCCTTTACAATTTTTGAACTAGGGGTGGCGCCGTCGTTCGCCTTTTCTTCAATTGGGGGAGGCGCCTCTGCCTCATCGTTTCTAAAATTATGTATTTTCTCAGGTGTCGTTCCTCCATTCGCTGAGCGCCTCCGGAGCTCGCGTAGGTGAGTTCCGCTTTGTTCTTCCTAGGCGCCACCCTTTACAATTTTTGAACTAGGGGTGGCATCGTCGTTCGCCTCTTCTTCAATTGGGGGAGGCGCCTCTGCCTTGTTTCTACAATTATGTATTTTTTTCTCAGGTGCTGTTCCTTCCATTTGCTGAGCGCTTCCGGAACTTGCGTAGGTAATCTCTGCTTAATCTTTCTTAGGCGACACCCTTGCGAAACTTTGAACCAGGGGCGGCGCCATCGTGTGCCTTTTCTTTAATTGGGGGAGGCGCCTCCCCGTCTTTGTTACAAGATTTTTCCTTTTCTCAACTCTCTTGCTTGTTTGAGCGCCACCCTCCGAGCTTTTGTTAGGCGCCGTGTTTAAGCTTCTCATTTTCCCGACAGTTGCTCTATCAGGATACTCTGCGCGCCACCTCCTCCTTTGTTTGAACGCGCTCACCGAGTGTTTGTTTGTTTCCCTGCTCGAGCGGTGCTTCCCCCTCTTTCGTCTTATTCTTTATTTGCGATGTAGGTTTATCCGTTTCAAGGCGTCTAAGGCGCCTTTCCTCCTAAGGTTACGGGGCATAATAGCGGTTTTTTGCCCGCGCGTTACCTGCTTCGGCGTTGCACCTGGTTCTCCTCCAAGACTCGCTTTTCTGCCCACCTCTCTCCCTTTGCCATGGCGTCTAATAACTCGCAGCCATCAGCTTATATGGGTGGCGCCTCCGCTCCCTCTAAAGGGAAAGCTAAAGCTTTGAGGGTAACATGTCCAGTGTGGAGCTCGAGCCTGAAACGGGCAAATTTCGAGCTTCTGACGACCCCGACTACTGCGTTTTGCGATGGCGTGGCTGAAGTCTCCCCACGCGTACCCCTGAAAAGGAGGTGACGCGTTTAGACTTCTCCTCGACGGAGGAAGCGAGCTTGAGTATCCCGTGCGTACCCTTGAAAAAGTGGTAACGCATTTAGGCTTCTCCTCGACGGAGGAAGCGGGTTTGGGTGACCCCTTCTGTCAAGGCAGGAATGTTTTGCGAGGGATATGGACAAAATATCGCCTCTCATGGGGACTCGTAAAACGAGCGCCCGACACTTGGATAAAAATCCACGTGTAAGCACTAGGGCTCTTCCACTAGTCGCGGGTAAAGGCTTTGCCAAGATGAATATCTTGAGCAAGAATCGATTTCTCCTACGCGTACCCCTGAGAAGGAGGTGACGCGCTTAGGCTTCTCCTCGACGGAGGAAGCGAGCTTGAGTATCCCGTGCGTACCCTTGAAAAAGTGGTAACGCATTTAGGCTTCTCCTCGACGGAGGAAGCGGGTTTGGGTGACCCCTTCTGTCAAGGCAGGAATGTTTTGCGAGGGATATGGACAAAATATCGCCTCTCATGGGGACTCGTAAAACGAGCGCCCGACACTTGGATAAAAATCCACGTGTAAGCACTAGGGCTCTTCCGCTAGTCGCGGGTAAAGGCTTTGCCAAGATGAATATCTTGAGCAAGAATCGATTTCTCCTACGCGTACCCCTGAGAAGGAGGTGACGCGCTTAGGCTTCTCCTCGACGGAGGAAGCGAGCTTGAGTATCCCGTGCGTACCCTTGAAAAAGTGGTAACGCATTTAGGATTCTCCTCGACGGAGGAAGCGGGTTTGGGTGACCCCTTCTGTCAAGGCAGGAATGTTTTGCGAGGGATATGGACAAAATATCGCCTCTCATGGGGACTCGTAAAACGAGCGCCCGACACTTGGATAAAAATCCACGTGTAAGCACTAGGGCTCTTCCGCTAGTCGCGGGTAAAGGCTTTGCCAAGATGAATATCTTGAGCAAGAATCGATTTCTCCTACGCGTACCCCTGAGAAGGAAGTAACGCGCTTAGGCTTCTCCTCGATGGAGGAAGCGAGTCCAGGAAGACTCCATTTGTTTCTCTATGATCACTTTCCGCAGTAGTGAATTTCCATTTCCTTTCTAGGAAGGCGGCGTCATCAGCTTCGAACGCTTCTTCTTCTGGTGAGGCGCCTACACCCTCCCGTGGGGAGTTCATGGGTGGCACCTCAACTTCCTGCATCTTTCCTCGGAGGCGCCTCCTCTCTTCCGTTGCTTCTTGTGAATTGGGAGGCGCCTGGTCGTTGGCCTTGGTGAGTGCCGTCAACGCGGTCATGACTTGGTCTAGTTGGCCTTGCATGCTCGCCATTTGAAGTGTTTGCTTTTCCCGAAGCTTTGCTAGCTGGCCCTCCAGGCACTCCGTGCCTTCTCTGTCTCCCAATGGATCGTCGTCGTCGGATGCTTCCAAACCTTGGATGGTGAGTGGTTGAGGGTTGATAGTCTCGCGACCAAACCTCGTCATCAGCTTCGAACGCTTCTTCTTCTGGTGAGGCGCCTACACCCTCCCGTGGGGAGTTTATGGGTGGCACCTCAACTTCCTGCATCTTTCCTCGGAGGCGCCTCCTCTCTTCCGTTGCTTCTTGTGAATTGGGAGGCGCCTGGTCGTTGGCCTTGGTGAGTGTCGTCAACGCGGTCATGACTTGGTCTAGTTGGCCTTGCATGCTCGCCATTTGAAGTGTTTGCTTTTCCCGAAGCTTTGCTAGCTGGCCCTCCAGGCACTCCGTGCCTTCTCTGTCTCCCAATGGATCGTCGTCGTCGGATGCTTCCAAACCTTGGATGGTGAGTGGTTGAGGGTTGATAGCCTCGCGACCAACAACTTGCTTGAGAGGGGTCTTCGTAGGTGCTGGACTCCTTTCTTCTCCCTTCTTTGAGTTGGAAGCGTCTTTCAAAGTCATGCTTGGCCCCACGGTGGGCGCCAATTGTTTGAGCCCAATCGACTGGGGGTCGCTCGGGTCCAAGGGGTTTGGGGTGTCAGCCATGACCTTGAGGGGGTAGGCGCCCCGCCTCGTCCGAAGTAGAAAAAGAGAAGAAGTATATAGAGAGAGAAAGTAGAGAGAAGTTAGAGTAAGAGTAGATAGATTGCCATTTATGAGGAGAGAACTCCTATTTATACACATTTGGGGGTTAGGTCGTGGTCTGGGCGCCTGCCAAGCCATAAATGCAGTGGTCGGGCGCCTCAGACTCTCTGACACTGTACATTGTACTTTTGGCAGGGGGTGTCCCCCTGCCCCTAGTCCTTGCTGATGTAAGGTGCCTGGACTTGTCTCCTTGTCTCTTGGCCTTGTCTTTTTCCCTTTGTCTTCTTTTCTTCATTATGTCATTAACTAGGCTCTTGCCTTGGGGATTGCTAATGTACCCTATCACTTAGTATTTTGATAGGTTTGGCTAATAAAAAAAAATCCGAAAAAGATTTGGATAAAAAATAGACATTGCCCTTAATTATAATTGAAAATTTACCCTAGTTCGTCAAATTTGTAGCGTGTAAAGTTTGAAGTTTATAAATTTGTCACTTTATTTAATTTGTACCGGTTATGTTCTAAGTGCAAAGTTTTATTATCGAATTATTACAAATTAAAGAATGATGACTGTTTAATACTAACTGCAAAATATGTGACGCTAATCAGTAATTACCAACATTTCCTTTACCACTGGCCTTGTACTCTCCAACTCTCTGCCACAGTCTGCAAGTAGAATTCGCTAAACTTTGAGAGCTCGATCACTCAAATGCAGTAGACAAACGGACCTAATCGTCTGGATTTCCCGGCCTGAAATATGACAGGAACCGGGCGGCGGACGGTGCGAAGCAAAGGCAAATTCGCCGTCGCAGACGGCAGTGATGTCAGCGACGTTTCTCGTACCAGCTCCAGACCGAGCTCGAAATCACGCATGGATCATCGGAGAGACGGGAGCTTGATTCGGATTCTCAACGTTGACTTGCGATTCATGCTCGCCATTGGCTTAGTAGCTTCTCTCGCCATCTTCTTCTTGATTCAGAGTCTGATTGCTCCTGTTGAAGAGTCTCATCAGAGACCTAGGGTTGTTACTCCATTCCCTTCTCCCAAGCTCATGGAGCTCGATCAGGTGGAAAGCAAACAGTTCATATTTTGGATTGCTGCAAGTCAATTGAATTCGAAGGGAATTTTGATCATCAATCCTTTTCGTTCTGACTGTGCATTTTCAGTTTCAAGGGGAGCATAAGGAGAGCTTGTACTGGGGAACTTATCGTCCTCAAGTTTATTTTGGAGTTCGAGCTAGGTGCGAAATATCTCGTATGAAGGAGAGATTGTGGAATCCTTGAAATCTCTCTATCTCCAAAATCTTTCATATAGTTGTGCTCAATGCATCCGTATTAGCAATACACCCATTTCTGCGCTACAGCATCAACTGTAAAAATTGTTTGTCCAAATACATCTTCACTTTGCGAAGAGACGTCGATACTAGTTTCTGTTTTGTAGATGGTTTTGCCAATGAATTAGTTTTGGTGGTAACTGTTTGCAAAATGCAGGGCACCTCGGTCTTTGGTTGCTGGTCTGATGTGGTTAGGAGTGAAAGATGGGAGGTACCATATGCGGCATGTTTGCCAGGACTCCGACGAGTTGAGCAAATATGGCTGGATTGCTCATAATGGTCGTGATTTTGGGAAGCAAGAGCTGGTTGATCAGGAATTGAAGCTGGAGACTAGTTTCTTGAAGTCCAGGAGTCAAGGCAGTGGTTATGGTGGAGATTGGGCTGTTCAGATTGATGTACAGCATGAGAAGTAAGCGCTTCACTGATAAGAAAGTAATGGATTCAATCCTGCTTATGTTAGCTGAAGCTCTCTTTCCTAACTTACAGATCCGGACCAAGTAACGAATTGCTGAAAACCGGTCATATGTTTTTCTATCTCGCTGATGAGAGTGGGAATGCTCTGAGTCCGAACAGTCATACCGATGAAAATAATGTGGATTCTCTTCTGGCATCAGGTTCAAGAGCAGACGTTGGAGCATGGCAGGTGCATTTAAATTCGAAGGTAAGGTAGCAAGTCAGGTGTATAGTACTGTTTGTAGGATGAGATATGATTCTCAATTAAGTTTGAGTCTCAAGCTCTATATAATACTTTGTGGTTGTTGTGCTTTGGGAATTTGCTACAGTGTACCTTAATTCGTCTAGTCATTAGTGGTTGTTGAAATTGGATTGCTGATCTGAATATGGTGTCTACTTGATTGTTTTAAAGGAAACTTTGGAGGTTCACTATTCTGGTTTCAGGACCTCTTACATTCACAATTTATCCGATCTTATTCTGCAAGATCTTAGTGAGCAGGTATTTTGATTTCCACATTTGTTCTTGGCTTTAAATGGCTAAGCGTTGATCAATATTCAATCACCAAAGGGATTTGCTTCTTTTGATTATTTGTGGCCAGGTGCGGAATTTTGGCCGACTGCAGCTGCCTGATTCATCTGAAAATTCCGCGAACATATTAGTTTTCCAGGTATATGAAATTGCCCCCTGCGTAGCGTGCATACTCCATGTTATTTCCTAGCTAAATGTAGGAAATATCCTAAATATCACTCTACTTGTGTATAGGTGGCTGCAAAGATTCCATTCAGGATGGATATTACCTTTGTGTCTGGAACTGAGGGGAAAGGTTCAAGCTCAGAACAAAGATTGAGCAGCCTTCAAGGTCTCCTGCTTATCCTCAGCATCAGTCAGTATACATGTTCTACTTCATTAGTTCAGTAACCTAGGATATTATGTTAATATTTTTCAGGTGCTTCATTGAGCACTCAGCTACAGCAGAAGCAAGCAGAATTTGACTCGAAGTTTGAGCAGCTCTTTAATGGAGCCCACAAGGTATTGATCGTTCATGCCCGACCATTTGGTGTTATATATAATTTTCAGCTGAATAGAACAAGATAACAGATAAACTATTGCTATGCACACCTGGCTTTGATATCAACATAGCATTGGGATCAACAGTAATTGCATATACTAGTAATATTAGAATGGCAGAGCCTGATATTGATCGTTGTTTGTTCAGCTGGAATCTGATTCCACTGTCGTTGGTAAGGCTGCTATAGCCAATATGTTGGGAGGCATTGGCTACTTTTATGGACAATCGAAGATTGCATATCCTCATGTAAGTCCTATGCAACTCAATATAATTTAAGCATGATGTTTGCTTATATTGGTAAATCATACGGGCAGCTTTTAGTTCTTAAGTGTATCTTGCGAATTCAAAATAGTCCCTTTGCAATTACTACCGGCAGTGCTAATTATGTGCACTTGAACTCAATATGTCTATCTGACAAGTCATGCAGTCGGCTCTTTATACTTGCAGCATGAAGGTCATGACAATTATATTGCATATTGGCCTGCTGAGCTGTATACAGCTGTCCCTAGCCGACCCTTCTTCCCTAGAGGTTTTCTTTGGGATGAAGGTTTTCATCAATTACTCATCTGGTCAGCTGTCTATGCTCTCCACCATATATTTCTTTCTCGATGCAAGTTGGCTATAACATTTAGCAGATAAATTAAGTAGGCAAAAGCCCTGCTGAATATCTATGTTAACTGCTGTGAACAGGCGCTGGGATCTCCGTATATCATTGGATATTGTTGGCCACTGGTTAGACTTGATGAATATCGACGGTTGGATCCCTCGTGAGCAAATCCTTGGTTCTGAAGCTCGTAGGTAAGTACTACAACAAGGTCATTTGAGCTAGCAAACCCTCAAAATTACTTGGGGGAAACTACTTACTTCAGTATTTCAGTTTGTCATATTACTGTTGAGGTAAATGGTGTGGGTTGTCTCTACTATTACTGCAGTAAGGTTCCAGAAGAATTCATTCCTCAGTATCCAAGCAATGGAAATCCTCCGACTCTCTTTTTGGTTATTCGTGGTAAATTTATTTCCACCAGCAATACTATAATGTATTAATGCATGGTTGTGTTTGTAAAACTACTTCGCAATATTTCACTCTAATTTCACTAGAGTTAAGCATAAGCTGAATTCTGAAATGCAGTTTTGGAACTTTGGTTTGTTAGATCTGCTTAACGGTATAGAGAGGAACATCTTCACGGATGTGGAAAGCAGAGACGTTACTTCCTTCCTGGAGCGGGCTTTTATTCGTCTTGAAGCTTGGTTACAGTGGTTTAATATTACACAATCAGGTTCCCAAACTTGATGTTCCCTTATAATTATGAATTTACAACACTTTTTTATTTTACATAACTTAAAAAGATTTTGACAATTATACTTGAAAGCAGGAAAGCAGAAGGGCAGCTACTATTGGCACGGTAGAGATAACAAGACAACTCGTGAGCTGAATCCAAAGGTCCTCTTTGCTCCAACCTTTTTACTGATCGAAATTTTTTTAGATAATATTATGTCCTGGGTAGTGCTTATATTTTAGGTATCTGCAATGTCAGACTCTTTCTTCAGGATTGGATGACTATCCTCGTGCTTCTCATCCAAACGAAGATGAACGTCACGTGGATCTCAGATGCTGGATGCTTCTCGCTGCAAACTGCATGCAATCCATTTCAAAGTTCTTCGAGAATGGAGACATCCCTGGGAAGGTTAGCTAACTAACCTTATAAAATTCTGTTTGATTTGTTATGTGGATATGCATTAGAAAGATCTAGCCTTGAAATCATTTGGAAACAATGCAGGAATATGCTTCAACAGTGAAACTACTTTCGGATTTCGAGTTGCTGAACGAGGTTGGTCAACTGTACCTCAACCCTTCAATAGCTGATCAGGCTTTAACATTCTCGTTGTCCATATGGGATAACTTGATTTAGTGCCAGTAGTTGCCAAAACCGAGACTATGCACAATCAAAAAGAACTGTATGAAAGTAGTAGATTTTGAAAATAACCACAGATTAAAAAGTTACTTCTCAACAAGGGTAAAATAGTGATGTTTTACTTAAAGATAGTAAGATGTTACTAGTAAAATCATAGTTTCTAAAGAACTGACAAGGTTTGCCCCTCTAGAATAGTAAAATCAGAATGTTTTGCGGGATTTTAACTTCACGTTCCCATCTATCAGATGCACCTCGACCCAACCAGTGGAGCTTATTTCGATTTCGGAAATCATACAGAACAGGTGTGCCCTTTACTTCTGTTTAAATTGTTTCACTTATGAAATGTTCTCAGCAATACTGAAGCTTTTCCTAAACATAACAGGTTCGTTTGAGTTGGAAAGAGGTTAGAGGGGAAAACCACCATCTGAAACGAGAACTTGTCCGGGAAGCATTAGAAAGGCCAAATTTGAGGCTTGTTCCCCACATTGGCTACGTTAGCTTATTTCCATTCATGGGGAAGATCATTCCACCTGTAAGTTGCCTAGGAATCCTAACTTTCATCATTTCCTCCTTGCATAATTTGGGAAATCTCCATGAACTTAAATATGAGGGTACTGAACTTCAACCAGGATTCATGGATTCTTGAAAAACAGCTCGACCTCATTTCGAATGGTAGCATTCTGTGGACGAACTATGGACTCCGTTCTCTTGCCAAAACAAGGTTTGTAATGACTTAAAAGCATTCCATTTCCATGTTTGCTTGAATTCAACTAATCTTGAAAGATTGTTGTTATTGAATGACCGCAGCTCAGTATACATGAAACGCAACACAGAGCATGACCCTCCATACTGGAGAGGGCCTATCTGGATGAACATGAATTACTTGGTCCTTTCTGCGCTACACCACTACTCCCAAGGTAAAAATGAATGGTTCTTTGCTTCCGAAACTGCATGGCTTTTTCTAGTTTGCATTCTCATGCTTCCAATTGGTTTCTTGCAGTGGATGGACCATACAGAGAAAGAGCAAAGCAGATATACAGTGACTTGAGAAGTAACTTGATAAGGTATGCCTCTTCCACAGAACACCTAGTTCAGGTTTCCGCAATAGCTGCCTCCTGGTGATATAATGCAGCCCGCAACTCGGTTCTTATTCGAGCTTGATTTTCTGTGGCATATGTGTTTCTTTATGCAGAAATGTAGTTCAAAACTACAACCAAACTGGGTTTCTGTGGGAACAATATGATCAGAGGAAGGGTAAAGGGAAAGGTGCTCGTCTCTTTACCGGCTGGACCGCACTCGTGCTTCTAATCATGGGAGAAGCCTATACTTGAAGTACTGAAGATTTACATTCTTGTGTTCAGTTTAGTCTCATTGTAGACGGATCTCAGAGCAGCAGATTTTGAGCGATTTTGACTCATTCCGCCGAGGGTAGTCATAGATTTAGGGTTACTGTAGCCATAGGCTTAGCTTTCAATGAGCAAAGATTCATGGCAACTTTATTCCTGCTAGTAGATTGCCCCAGGATTCTCGGTTAGAGGGTGGTGATGGATCACATGATATCCACTCCCCACATTAACCCCTTGGCCCTAGGCCCTTGGGGTTAAGATTTACAGTGAAAGATGTCATCAGATTGTGAAGACAATTTTCATCATCAAAGTTCACATACAATCAAAGAACGAGAATCCTATCCACAAAGTTCATCACATTATGCTTCTTAGGTAAACCTCAAGGGTTAAGCACTAAAGCTTTTTACAGTGTCTAGACTTGCTGTCAAGATAACAGAAACGGATGTTAACCATTGTGAAATGGTCTGGAAGCACCAGATTTGGGATGTTAACCATTGTGAAATGGTCTGGAAGCACCAGATTTGGGATGTTAACCCTGTGGTTCTCTTTTGATTTCCATCCCACTTCAAATGCGTCGCTACAATGAAGCCGAGTTTAGCCAAACCAGGGGCTAACTAACAATCGGAAGTTGTACTCGTTCACTCTAGGTAAATTATTTTAGAATACATTTCATACCAAAGATGTTTGAACATAAAAGAAATATGCCATCTTCAAACCTCTGCCAAATGGTTTTTAACGTTGGGAAGAGTGAAAGACGTCAATTGGTGAAGTAGCCGCAAAACAACAATCGTATTGTCATCTTCAACTCCCTTGGTCTTGGTCTGCGCTTAACCATCCCCCATATCAGTGTCCTCGGCCATCATAATTTCGATGTCCCTGATGTCTCGCTTCAGCACATTCCCAAGCCTTCCGATAGCCTCTGTCTGCTGTTGTAAGACCTGTGCAAATTTCGAAGCAATTGTGCCCGACAGGGACTGGATTAAATGTGTGTTTATAGCGAGATGATGAGATCACAACACCTGATTCCGTCACTTACTTCTTGCATATCGACTAGACTTTGCTCGTCAATCTTGGTTGAGCCAGGGAGATAAGTAGAAGCTCCTGGACCAATCCCATTTGCTTGCACACGGGAGATGGTGAGTAGGCTTTGGATCCTCCTGCCGAGTTCTGCTCCAGGACCTTTCAGCTGAGATTGCAAGTTCTTATTGGAAATTCTCATATTTGGTAAAATAATACGACGAGAACATGAGACAGTAAATATACCTGTCTAATTGTAGAAGCTAGCTTCTCTGCCAACTCAGCTTCCCCTTTTGTTAGTGGCAATCGACAACCCTTGCTTTCCAAAGCTTCAAGTATCCGCATTGTCTGGCAAATGCAAGAGAAAAAGCTAATGTGAGAATGAATTTAACTATGATCAAATGCCATGACAAAAGCGCAAACTTCAAACTGATCCTAAACAGGAATAGGTATGTGTAGCGGTTGAATATGATTCGATCCTACTGGACCAAATCCACATTTCGATCAGATCAAACCGAGTGAAAGTAGCTTCAATTCAGTTTCAATTCTCAAATTCAAAGCCATTTTGGTCTTGGCCCCATTGAATCTCCTAAAATACAGAGGAAAGATGGACCAAATCTGGGCAGGACCTAATCGAATTGGATCAAAGGCACTTTTGATCCAGCTCTCTTTCCTTCACTTTTTTACCAAGTCCTAAAATCGGTTTAGTCTGATCCTGGACCAAATTGGACCATGCCCACAAACATCCAGTCTATCCAGCAAAGCCATATCAACAGAAGTGGTATTCACATCAAGCTTTCACCGACTGACGACTATTTTGCACTCAGCAAACTAGAGAGTAATTCTACCATGTTCAGTAGATATTTCAAATGTGACACATATAGGGGAAAAATACCCTTAGAAGACGTCTCTGAATACTTTGTTCCTTTTGTCTCAGCCTATCAATCCATGGAAGAGTCTCTGCTTGAATATGTCGTTGAAGCTGCAAGCAACAATTTCCAGTTTCAGAGAAATTCATCTTTAAATAAAAAATAAAAATAAATAAAAAGCTATCAAAAAAGGAACACAAGGATGTTCAATCAATTACAGTTAGGGAATCAACAGGAAGTCCTAGCTAACCAGCAAGAAAGTTTTCCAAACTGCAAGCAGCAATTACACTGAAGGAGTTTCTAACCAGAACAAACTGAGAATACAGATGAGTAGTACCGTTTTCACATTGCTTTGGGTCGTCCGCAATCTCTCAGAATCTGAAACAATGACTTCATCTTGAAGCTGCATAAATCGCATCTCAGAGTCAACAAAGTGCATAACTAAGATTTACTAACTAATTAATTTCTTTTTAAACTATCAAACCATTTTACAATCACAAATGAACTTGAGATTTATGAATATCAGCTACAAGGTCAATATTCGAATTCTTTCGGAACGGACACTAAATGGAAACTCAATGCGATGGAATCTAAGTCGCAATCACCTTTGCATATGGCAATATCCCAGAAGTGACTTAGAATTTGGAAAATGCTTTGATCAATGAATGCACCGAACCAGTATAACTCACCTTGAGGCGGTTTGACAGATCTTTGAAACCTTGTGCAAGTTGAGGCCATAGACGCTCCCGGTCTCTACTCTCCATCCCTTCTAACTTCCCCATAGCCTCTGCCCACATAATCTAACCAATGCAAACTATTTCCCAACTTAGCACATACACGCAGAAGAACAAACTCTAGAGCAAATACGCAACGCCAGAATTAAGAGACAAGCAATCAAATTAACCATTAAGTTAAACTCACATCTGATATAGTGGTAGGCTTGATTCTAAGCTGTGGATCCGTAACACTAAACAGCAAATACTGAAAAGAGTAGACAACAAAGAGAATAGCTCAGATTGCTGTCATTTCCGTATCAAATCCTCTAAAACAGACCAATTATTCACTAGAGCAAGCTAACATACCTTGAAACCATATTTAGGGTTCCCAGCCTCCTCCTTATAAGCATCCACGATTGCCTACCATCGATTCCGAAGAATTAACACAGGATTCAGCAACGAAACGAAGTCAAGCAAAGATCCGTAGGGCTAACGAGAAAGCGAAGAAGAAGAACGCGGAGGTAGGAAAGAAGCCACACCTGAATATCACGATCGGCGAGGGAGAAAGGGAGCGGGGCCACGGGGGCCATCTGAGTCGTCAATTGAGCATTGGGGAACGGCGTAGGCTGCTGCGCCTGCGCGGGGAACTGAGACTGGAATCCAAAACCAGAACTCGGTTGCTGGAATAGAGACTGCTGCTGCTGTTGAGGCTGCGCAGAAAATGGCGTGGAGAAGAGAGAAGAGCCGAATCCAGTGGCGAACGAGGAGGTGGACGGAGTGGCGAACGCCGGAGTCGAAGATGACGGAGCTCCGAACAACGGAGTGGAGGAGGGAGTTCCGAATGCCGAGGAGGGAGTGCCGAAGGCTGGGGTGGACGGAGTTCCGAACGCCGAGGCGGAAGACGGAGTGCCGAACGCCGGAGTTGAAGATGGAGTGCCGAACGCCGGAGTTGAGGATGGTGTGCCAAACATGGTGAAAATAGGAGCTCCGGAAACCGGCTGCGGTGACTTTTTCTCCTTACAGTGACGATGGCGCCACGAGCTCGAGAGATTTCAATTTCATTTTTCCGCAGCTCTGGTGTTCGACGATTTGAATTGCCGCTCTATTGGCAGTCTGCGCATTTGGGGTAGCGGCGTGTTTAGTCTGACTCTGATGGGGATGCTGCTCCAAGCTCTGTAATCTGAGCCTCGCAGCCCAAAATAGGAGCGACTTGGGCCGGCGTCGACTGGGAACTGGATCTTCACATGTAAAGGGCCTATTTGTCAATGATCGGTATTTAACTATTTGTCAATGAATAAATGACCGTAATGTAGCGGTGGTTCAATTAGAATAATCTCTTATTAGAAGAGAAATTAATAGATGGTATTTAATGGTATTTAACGGTTGAATTGCTGTTAAATCATAGTTTCAAAATGAATACTATATTGCAAATTTTTCTAATACGGTATTTCAATCATTGGTATTTATTCCAGGAGGTGTGTCCCGCGTCTGCATGGATTACAATTTGCAAATGGGTTATCCATAACCGCTACCTAAAATCTAGTTTTTGGAGATGGCTTGTTTTCTCCCGATTTTTGGGATGTTGACCTCAAGTTAAGTGTGGAAATCGGTACGATATTGGTTTAATATCAAATATTGAAATTTCAAATACCAAATTGTATCCTAAAATCAATCTCGATCCTAAAATAAATTCGGCATCTTAATCTCAATCTCACAATATTTTCGCTACGAATATTGATATTCCCAAACACCAAATTAATTATCTTCACAATGAATAATTAAATATAAATATTAATAAATAATAGTTCGAACACCTCTAATCATTTATATTTTTATAAGGTGTAGGCTTGTAGGTTTTGTTTCACGATTAAAAACATTAGCGATGAGAAGTTGAAAGGATAAAAATCTAATTAAAATTGAAAACTAATTAAACTCTCCACTGAATGGATTCAATCACAGTCTCATTTGAATGGACTCATCAGAGGTGCCCATTTGGGACTACGAGACTAAGCAAATAATATTGAATTTGTCTAAACCTAAGGTAGGAACGAAGAGAAGGGATGAGATGGTGATATCTCAATTTCTTGTTCTTAATAATCTCCGATTCAATGGAGTGAATACTGAGAAAGGACTTATGACAGTGTAAGTTTTTTGGTATTCTGAAAAAAAAATAAGAGATTGAGTGAGTGACGAGAGTCGGCTAGAAAAACATAGAAGATAAGCTTAGATTGGAAGGGTGCTTGCAAGTGAAAGAGTTAGCAATGACCAGAAGTTGTGAGTTATATTTAATTAACTATAATTTTTTTGTGTTACTCGGTATCTCGGTATATACCGATCACAATTCCATAAACTCGAATACCAAATAACACCCAAAATCAATCATAATCTCAATCCCTAAAAAACAACTCGATATTCGGTAATACCAAATAGTGGTAAATTTGGTACAATATTTGATCATCTCAAATAACAGTATCAAACTTCCAGTCTTAGTTGTAGGAGAAAATGTGTTGATTGGGTTCAAGCCAATCAAATTCAATTAACCTGATTGATAACTATAACGCTTGGGGCTCTAATTTGAACTCTTTCATTTGATCTTCTCACTCTGATGTCGAAATTAGTACGATATGAGGATGGATGTATATGAATGTAGAGATACAAGTGTCAGAGAGAATACCATATATGTTGAAAGTGTAGCAAGGAAAGAAGATCATCCTAAGCTTGGAAGTTTTAAGAGTCCTCCTTATATAGGACAATGACTTGGACCCTACGTGAGAAATTTTGTATGCTTTGTGATGGGTTAAAGTCCATAGGTGACATGACATTTAGGCTCTCTCCATGTTAATTATCCATATCCATACAAGGTCAACAAATGCTCAATGCTAACACAACCTTAATTAGAGAGACACCAGAAAGAAATGGATCTCGAAGCTGAACATCTTTCCCAACCTTCAATTAAATCAATACAGTACATCATTCTTGTATATTCCCATCGTCTGCAAAGACGAGCCAAATCATCATTCCAGATTTCTTCTCTATAACCAGTTAACCACTATTCATAAGTTCACAACAGAATACAAAATACAACGAACACTTGAAACTAATGATTAATGCAACAACAGAGTCGAGACACCTCTTCAAACTGGAGATTACAACAGACAATAAAAAAAATCCAGAAAACAAGTCGCAGCCTGATCTGAATTAACTAATGCATCAACAATAAACTGCAGGCTTTAGCTTTAGATCAAGAACTCCATTCATATCATGCCTTGATGGTCAGGCTACATAAGCACAAGCCGGACAGCTTTATCTCAGAAGTCTGCCACTCTGAGCCAGATGGAGCTTTAGGATCATACAGCAAGGTCTTGTAACTCGGGTCATCCTCCATAGCCAGCAACAGAAGTTTCCCGTTGAGGATCCCAAACCGGAACCCTACTGTGGAGCTCCCGGTCAATGGCAAGGGTACCATCTTCCAGGAGTTGTCCTCTGGGTCGAATATCGCCAGTTTTCGCTGGTTCTTCCACTCCATACAGAAGAGCTTCTTCTTGAGTACAGCATGTGCTGTGACCATGACGCAACCATTCTTCAGCTGGCCCCAGGATTGCATATCGGGGTTATAGACGTCGACGAACTTGGAGTTGCCAATTGTGAAGCTCGACCTTCCTCCCATGACGTAAAGCTTCCCGTCAAAGTTGCAGCCGAAGCAACCCCATCTCGGGCGACGGAGAGACTCTATCAGGGTCCATTTGGCCGTCTCCGGGTCGTACATTTCTACGCTGGAAAGGCAATCGCCATCAATGCCACAACCACCAGCTGCGTAGACTTTGCCATTGACCTCCGTGCAAGCAAAATCATAGCGAGGAGCGTTCATGTTTGATAATTTGCTCCAACTGCAGTTGTACAGATATGGTGCGGAAAGCAGTAATTAGAATTATGGGAAGTTCGCAAATCATAATTTAGCAAATGAATCAACTAGCCCATGATAAAAGCTTAAATCGACTTGGAAAAGACAATACTTAGAGGCGTTGATTCTGAACCAGGGAAAATGGACCAATTGAAGCATAAAAAGAATGCCAGAGAAGAGAACAAACCTGTTCAGACTTGAATCATATTCGTAAACTTCATCAGAGGCACAGTTTGTCCCATCATCAGCAGTTGAATAGCCAGCCATGACAAGTAGCTTTCCATTCAGAACAACTACACCAAACCCAGCCTTAACAAGGCCAGGCATCTGGGGAAGAACCCGATGTTTATTGCCACAAGAATCCAACACCTCCCAGTGGCTTCTCTTTCCTCCAGAATCCAGAAGCAAGACATACAGCCATTCCTCGAGCAAACCAGCTAACTTCCTCACAGTAATGAACTCTTTGCTTTTGATATATGACCTCCACCTCCTGCATACAGCACCCATGGCTGGGAAGCTCGGACGAGGAACCAGTGCCAGGCAATACTTCGCCACATCATCGGGCAGCCCGGGTAGCATCGAGCAGTCGTCTTCATTAGTAACCAATCTAGGGCTGCTCTTTGAACGAGTGGCCTTATTGTGCATGAATGATCTTGAGAAGGACAACTTTGTTCCAGTATACATCTTGTTGGCACACATAACATCCGCCATTTCTCAAGCGAATCAGGAGAGATATGGATTGAAGAAAAAAATACTTTTATATCTCCCTGAGAACTCTATCAATGCTTTGTAAATGAAAGATCTTTTCTGTTCGAGCTAAAGAAATTCGTGATAACCGTCACCTATAGGAATCTTACAGGACCAAGCCATGAAACAAGTTGCAGATCGAATCACTTGAGCAGCTAATTCCGATGATTTCCCGTGTCTTACCCAGTCTGATTCATATTCCATACCAGAAGTTCTGCTGCTCTTGGAATTGTTGCTCAAATTTACCCTACTTGCAGTACTGCCTAATCCTCCAACGTGGTCTCTGCCCTGACACATTGCCCAAGGTTTCTGCACATCAACGAAAAAGAAGACGACATGATAAGAAGTTAGCAATTATAGTAATCTGAAAACTGTATTTCTAGCCATCTCACAAACTAGTATATGTATGCTTACCAAACAAAGCCCGTAGAATATGCAACAACTTAGCCTCCTGTGACTTCCATTTTACTGGAAGCAGATGACAACTGCAGAACCACACAAAAGGGAGAAGATCAATTGAGGTGTAAACTCTAATCCCAACAATTCACATCTTCATTCAACAACCAAAAAGAAGGGTAGTCTTTGAAATGAATGGATAGACAGGTAAGGTGGGAAAAACAGTTGACTTATCCTGTTCAACACCACTTTCTGACAATGGAAGATATCTCTAAAACAACTAGCAAAATCTCCACCTACCTAACCCACCCAAAATAAAATAATAATAATAATAATAATAATAATAATAATAATAATAATAATAATAATAATAATAAGAGCCAGAGAGCTTTCATCAAATCCTTCCTACAAATTCATCATTTCATTAGGCATCCAATTCGATTTATCAAGAGATTGACAAATTACCAACTAAAATCAAGATAGAGCATCAACTTCTCTCCCAAACAGATAGAGACAGACTCAAATCCACGTCCAAATGCTATAACCAGATCCAAAAAATTCAACAACTCGTCAATTTACAAGAGGAAAGAAATAACATTCAGCTAGATCTAGATTCTCACCCAACTACGCAGAATTCATCAAACTTGACCTCTGCATACGATGCAGGAGAAGTGCCATAAAAACTACCCAAAAAAAAAAAGCTGTGGCGGTGAACCGCGGGAAATGCAGTGAGATCTAAACTGGGAAACCATCCTAACAAGCACAAAGACAGGCAGCGATAAATGAGTAAATTACCTGGAAATAGGAAAGGGAATGGATAAACTGGAGAAGGAGCCTTATCCTTTTAAGAGATAAACGTGGGAGTGATCGTTCGGTTTGGCGAGAGATCTTATAACAATGGCGATAAGGTATGGGGGGAGAGAGTTGGTGTGTTGTCTCGAGAAGCGGAAATGGCGATAGGATTGATATTGAGAAAGGGATGGGGATGGAGATAGAGCTGACAGAAGGAGACCACGTCAGGGATTTAGATCTCTCTGGTTTGGTTTCCAGCAAAGATGGGGGAATGAATAAGGAAAACAGAGGAGACCGGCGGAAATTATATTATTTTCTTTTAAAAGAAGGAAGGTGTGGGCTGTGGCCTGTGGGGGGTTGGTTGCTTTTGCTTACCAGAGGGCGGAGGATTCGTTGTCTAGTCGGCCATTCTTATAGGGATTTCTTTTTGTCCATAATAGTAGTTTGTAATAACTAAGAATTATTACGTCATACTTAAACTTAATGGGTGCGATTGGTTGGAAGGCTGAAGGCGCTAGGTACGCATTGAGGCCTTGTGCAGTGGTTACTGGTTAGTACATTTAAGCACTTCTAGACGTTTTAGTAAAAATTAGGGATGACAAAGGGTTGGGTTGGGGGCGTTAGATCATTCGGTTAAATTGTCAATTTCTTTTTTTGTTGTGGTTTTTTGTGGCAATTCTGTACAGGTCATCCGATATGGGAGCTGATCCGGTGAGTAACTCCATGCATAACCCAATAAGAATCTGCCACATCAGCACCTCCTTCTCTCTCCTGAAAAATCATTAATTTTCTTTCCCTTAATCTTTAATGGACGATTTCTCACTCTTTTTAACACGAAATTTAATTTTTTTGCACAGTTAGATCAAATTAATTGTGCTCTTCAAAATGATATCCACTTTGATATTTTTTTGAACAAAAAAAATTTGTCAGTTATTACCAGGCAATACCATATGGTATAGTCAATACCATATGGTATTGACTGGTATTAAATAACAGCATACCATATGGTATGAAAAATACCAGTCAATACCATATGTTGTTATTTAATACCAGTCAATACCATATGGTATTAAATAACAGCATACCATATGGTATGAAAAATACCACCTCATACCAGGGTGGTATAGTATGGTATGGAGTTGGTAACGAGAGATTTGAAATTTTTCCCCCATAAAATTTTGAAATCCAATAGATCATGATTAAATCCTTCCTTTTGTGCAAAAATTTCCGAAAATTACTAAACAACGAAGGAGATACCATATGGTATGGAGTTGGTAACAAGAGGGATGAAAAAAAAATTCTCAAAAAATATTGAAAATGGATATCATTTTGTAGAGCACAACGAACTCGTTCCATCTGTGCAAAAAAAATTGGAATCCGAGTTAGAATGAAGAAGATATGATCCAATTAAAAAAACTAGGAAAAATAAATTCCTTTAATTCTTCACCCTTATATCTGCCGTCACTTAAAAGAAGGGTCCAGATTTGGTTACTCATTGTTACTCACCCTAAGGTTACTCACCCTATCTTGAGCCATCTGATATTATTCGTCAAAGGAAACTACACTCGTTCGCGGGACTATCTTGGAGATTTTGGGTTTTTTTATTTTTGTTTTTTTTATACCCCCAATGCCATGTCTTTACTCCTCGAAAATTCTTCAGAGTTGCTCAAGTAGTGGCTTATCATGTTGTTTCATCGGTAGTCTGGTTGCATACGGACTAACGTGTAGTGTTTGAGAGGTCTTGTAATCGTGTTGAGTCTTTGTCACATGCCTTTTGGCCTTTCCTTGAAAAAAAAAGGGTTGGTTTGGGGTAGGATAGTGCATACCCTCCCAAAAAAGTTTGGGTTTACTCATATCCATACAAGAGTCAGGTAGAATATTGAAACCATACCCATATCCGATCAGGTTTCAGGTATCCACGGTTAACCATGAAAATAATTGTTCTTAACTATTCAACCAACATGCTAACAATTTCACATATGCTGACATAATTTTAGTAAAAAATTAAAACAACAAATTACTAAAATGAAGCAAATTTGGTAAACGTAATATTAATTTATGAAAATATCAAATATGTTGAGAAAAATAATGATCATTTAAAAAAATACATATGCATGTGTAAACGGGCGAGTTCGGGTTGGATAGTGAGAAAACCATGCCCACTTATCACCTCCAATATCCACGAATATTGTTATTTTTGTCATCCCTAGTGAAAATAGTCATTTTCAATAGTAATAACAATTTTGTATAATTTTTTTAGTTCAATTTCAAATGATTAGTAACATAAGAACTCTCAATAATAAGCAAAATATGCCATATTTCTAGAATCACAAGTTTATAGAAGTCGTAGATTGTGGATGGTCTGTAGTCAACAATGGTGAAGAGCAAGGCAAAGGGTCGAGTCGAATATAAGGTAGTTGGAGATGACCTCGTTTTGGAAATATTAGCTACAAATTATTTTAACCTTTGTTCTGTCAAAATGCTTAAGCGTGCCTCAATTAGATTAATCACACCCTATGCCGATTAATCGTGCCTAGCTCCACCCATACAACGCCTACACATTATGTAACATCCCATTTTGGCTAAACTCATATTTCGATCGGTGGAAATTACATTATTAAAATTGAGTATTTTGATAGTATTTCGACGAGAATTGGAATATCGATCGACCAGATAAGTATCAAAACATTCAATTTTAATCGTGTAATTTCCACTGATCGAAATATGAGTTTAGCCGAAATGGGATGTTACACGTTATAAATGTCTAATTATATGCTTAGCGCCTAAGCGTTAAAGCGTACATGGAATCACACCTTCTTAAACTTTGATTGGTTCTTCTCTTATGAACTACTTTTACTGGAATCATACCAAGATAAATGTTTGACATCAATATCTTAATGTTGGAGTTACTTACAACATAAAACTAGATTTGGGCCCGACCGATGGTCGGATTCATTTGATCCCTGACATAAATTATAATTTAATTGTGCACGATACAATTTTATTTGACATCATAAAAAATACAAAATATTTAATTATCATGCTTGATTCATCGATGAAAGTCCTTATCGAAAGTTGGAAAAAAGACATATGCATGGGACCCGATGTCTAAAAACATTAGCAAACAACACATCGATTTACTCCTCATTATAATTACTGTAAAATATTTGGACTTCTTTGAGATTGCTCCGCCAACAGCAGCATCTTCATATCCACTAATAACAGTGTCTTCGTCTCCATCACTGAAACCTCTACCTTTGCCATCACATAGTCTCTTATTTATTCTCAATAACACCATTATCTGATTTTGGAAAAGGATTATTTAAGTTATTATTTTGATGTTGTTAATTATTCTCACAAATAAGTTATCAATTATCTCAAACCTATCAAACACCGAACACAATCATCTATGTTGTTCCAGCCACTCCATTGATCGTCTTCAAAGACATTGTTGCGCTTTGCTTGGAAGTTTTGATGGATATCTCGGTGTCAAAGAAGCAGCAAGTATGAGCTCTCATAAAGAAGGATGATGCAACTACTTTTTGGTGGTAGCATCAATTGGAAAATTTTCATTCAGATTATGCATTGAGCGCCTTTTGTCATAGTGAGTTCATTGTGAGAGCTGGAGTGAATTGGAAGTGAGTTGTCAAGCCTTGAACTAAAAGTATGGAATAAATTCATAGAAATTCAAGGTCATTCTTGAGGGAAAGAATCTTTCAAAGGGGTTGGGTTGATGAAAGATTAGTTATTATTATTAAATTAGGGCAAATATAATAAAACAACTTAACCTTTAGTTTTTAAACAAAATAATAGCCAAATCTTTCAAAAACAATTTAATAGCCAAACCGTCAACTTTTCGTCTGGTTGACCGTTAGTTGACTCTGACTTGGCATAATTTTAAGTGAGCGGGATGATTTTGGCTGATGACGCAAGAAGGCAAACGTTTGGCCAATGCCGCATGAATATTATAAAATAAACTCTGTTCATAAAAATTAATAAATTAAATTTAGATAAATAATAATAGGAGTAAATAAAATTATGAAATTTCTCAGGTCACTTCAAAAGGCACATCCTTATTCTCCGCCACTCAACCCCCCTTTATGTCGATGAAGCCCTTTCCCGATCTGTCGATCAAGCCCTTTTCCCAAGATCCTCTCTCTCATAAGATTATCATTAGCGCAATTTTTCTTCTATTTTTTCATTTTATTGAAATAAAAAATTAATAATAACATATTTCCAAATATGTTATATAATTTTTTGTCCGCAAGTAAAATATCTTTAAAACTGTGTACTCAATTTATAGCCTAAATTTATTGGAGATATGGCGGTTGAGGGATCTTCTGGCTCTATCACTGGCTTTAAATAGTTTTTGAGCAAACATTCCAAAAAAAAAAATTGTGTGGTTGAAGGCGATGCAATTACCATTTAAATTAGGCCCACTAATGATTATTTACAATAGGGACGACAATTGAACCCGAACTCATGGGTACACGATTCGTGATTCAACCCAGTTAAAGAATGTAAAGACTATTGGTGATGGATTTTTTAGGTCGGTGGTGGGTCTTACCCGCTTTTGAAATTGGCTGGTCCGGTTGGGTTGTGATTTTTCCAAAATCCAACTCGCTTTCCACTGACCCACACCCATAAAGCAACATGATGTCATTTTATATCTAACCGAAATAATATGAATAATTTATAGATGTTATTTGTTTTTACAGCAATATAAACCTAATAATTTGGATAAGCAATGAATGTTAGTAGTGTTATGGAGATATATTTATAGGGAAAATGTCGATAGCATTACGATGTGGATGTTCGAAAAAATATGTATGGTTATGTTCGTAAACCCATTGATAGTCATGCACCTGTGGGTGGATTGAATTGTATTTTTACTTCTAACATCCAATAGGTATTTAACCGGATTTTTTATATGAATAAACTCGATGGATTGAACCCATTGGATTAGTTGGATTTTTACGTCTAAAACTCAATAAGTGTTTAACTGGGTTGAAGTTGGGTTTAGAGAAACCCAATCCGACTGATAGACCGTCATTTACACATGTTTTTACCCCCGTTCTTACACCGTTTGAGGTGTTGATTCTCGTGTTTTAGGCCGATTTCACGCTAGGTTGTGATTGTTTGTGATATTTCAGGTCCTAGTACGTGAATGAAGGCTTAGGAGCGAGTCTGGGGTCGATTGGACGAAGAACGGACGAATGGCGAGGTTTTTGGGGAGCTGCACGGGCAGACCAGGGAGGCTGCACGGCCGTGCACGTGACAAGATGGCCGTGCGCCTTATGCCGAGGAGACGCACGGGCAGACCATGAAGATTGCACGGCCGTGCACCCTGGCCGTGCAAGATGGCTGAGGTCGAACTAAATGGTACGCCGCGTTTTGGAGTGCACGGCCAGAATGGTGTTATGCACGGCCGTGCACCCTGGCCGTGCGAGTCGGGAAAGCCTGGTTTTAGAGCCTATTCCGAGCCAAAAGTGGGAGAATCGTGTTTTCAGAGCAAAAACAGAGCCCTAGAGAGAGAAAGTGCGAAGAACACACCCTAGAAGCTGTCTTAGAGCTGGATTTCATCGAATCGAGCCTGGAGATCGTCATAGGAGTGGAAATCATCGTCCCGGAGCAGATTATCCTCATCGTTATGAGTATGACTAATCCGATTCTTGTTTTCTCTTCCCTCTCTATGGAGTAGAACCTCTCTCTCACTTGGGTATGAAGAACCCTAGTTCCTTGTGTTAGGGATTTGATTGTAATGACTTGGGATGATATTACTGTTTGATTTTAATCGAATGACGCATGTTTAATGAATTGATTTGAGTCTGATCAGCTTTTCTCAAATTCTGCTGCAACCTGAGATAGATAGAATCTGATTAGGTTGTTAGAGCCTCTTCATTCGATAGTAGGAGATTGGCTATACGAGAGTTAGCCAGTTTACTGCTTTGTACTGGTGTTCTTGGCGCCAGTAGTGGAGTTCTGTGTTCATAGCCTCAGCTTTCTATCCCGGTGAAAACTAGTCGTCTGCCGGGTAGTTAGACTGAGAGGGCTTGGTCAGCTTAAGAGATTCCAAGCTACTGTCGGATCTTCCGCAGTCTAATCAACAGTAAATCAACCCAGGGAATTGCAATTGAACCTAACTAAGGGGCTAGGGGGACTCAATCCCGAGTGACTCTTGCCTGCTTTAGAAACTAGGGGTGGGAATCGGTCGGTAAACGGTAAATTGGTTACCGAATTTACCGGTTTCGGTATACCGATACTGGCAAAACCGTTTACCGATACCGATTTGCAATCGGTTTACCGATTACCGAATTACCGGTAAACGGTTGCAAACCGGTTTACCGAATTACCGCAATGGCGACGTAGGGGCGGGTTTTCGGTTCGGTTTACCGAAAATTTACCGAAACCGAATTTCTGTTAGTGGGGAATATGTTGTAATATTTTGATTTTTCTTAGTTTTTTTTCTTCATTTTTGTAATTAATAATTTATAACATTTTTTAGGCCTATACTTACTTACATTCATGTATCATTTGTAACTCTTATTTATAATATTTTTCTTCATGATGTATGTAATATTTGTAAATAATGAAGTATATGTTCTATGTTAATGCCATTAGTTATAACTTAATATTTGAGTTCAAACACTAAGTTGCTATCTATTATTTATTAATCTATTTAATTTAACATAAGTTCAAAGGGTCAACAATCATGATTCATGAATCAACATCAACTCTCATCAAGCATCATCATTCATCAAATATTCAAATTCATCAAACAACAATTCGACAAACAATAGACAAATCAAATTCAAAGGGACAATCATAATGTCTAAATTCAACACAAGTTCAAAGTCCAAACTTAAAAAATTAAAATAGACAACCAAATAAGTTAATAACCAATAGCTCATGCTCCTCCTTCTCCGGTAGAACTTGTAGCACCTGCACCACCAACATTTGCACAACCTTTCTTCTTCAAAATCCTAAGAAGAGTACCATCGGGATCATCATCGGCATCTTGGTTCATGTCTTCGTCGGACTCGGTGGAATCTTCATCATCACCCTCCTCCTCCTCCTCCTCTTCCTCCTCCGCCTCCTCCTCCTCCTCCTCATCATCATCATCATCAACCCCAACAACAGATCCATGTGCTGAGCTTGGGATGTCACTTGAAGCTTCCACTCGAGATTGGAAAGTATTAGTAACTAGTGCAAATAAAATACACAAATGTTACTTGAAGCTTCCACTCGAGATTGGAAAGTATTAGTAACTAGTGCAAATAAAATACACAAATGTTAGTATGTTACTAATGGAATGGTTTAAAATTTAAATCGTACAGAGTATAGACAAATTAGAATAATAAATTGAATTCTTACCACTTTCATAATCGATTGTCTCTTGATCTTCTTCCTTATCATTCAGTTCATTTGCAGTCTTTCCATTTTCATATCTTATCCAATCTTCAGCACATATCAATGCCTCCACAATGTTTGGGCTTAAAGAGGACCTGAAAGGACTAAGAACTCGACCTCCACAACTGAAAGCGGACTCCGATGCAACAGAGGAGACTGGAACTGCTAATATATCCCTAACCATCTCTGAAAGAATGGGATATCTAACACTGTTCCGAGCCCACCACTTCAGAATATCAAACTTCCGATCATCAATCTCCTCATTAATAGCATCACCAATATCTCTCAAATACTGCTCCAACTCACCAGAACCTCGACCACCCCTCTCAATTTGCTCCTTTCTCTTCTGCTGGAACCGAGCTTCAAATGCGGACTCCACAGAAAAAGATCCGTCACTAGTCTCAGTCGGAGTAGTAGTCTGGGTAGTAGGCACAGAAACAGAGGATGAAGTTGCATACTTCATCTTGTAGACATCGTACAATGCAATCATCTCCTTCTTTACTTCATCTGCCAAAGCTTCCCCTTTTGAGATCCCATACATTTCCTCCAACATCATAGTCAAATAGTCTAGCTTACGCCTGGGATCCAGCACACAGGCCATGTAAACTATCCTATTTATCCTAAAGTTGTCCTCGTCAGCAACATCATTCTCAAACCAATACTTTCTCACCTTTGCCTCTATTCTCAATGCCATTCTTTGTATCTGACTATCTGTATCTTTCTTCAATTTTGCTATCACTTCATGAATATCCACAATGGTTTTGTAGAAAGTATGTGCAGTGACATATGATGTTCCTAATACAAAGAAAAATTTACCGACATTAGTATAAATAATATAAATAGACATCATTCAATTTAATTTTAAAATTTGAAAGTTATTAGTTCATATACCTGATACACGAAGAGTAAGCTCATAGAAGAACTTCAGGTACTTCATGAGCCGCCTAATACTGCTCCAATCATCTTCAGTTGGAAGACCCTTCTTTGAATCCACATACTCTCGAAAGGAAGAATCAGTAGGACTAGCATACATGAACGTAAAAACCTGCTCAAACCTCTCCGCGGAATCCAACATCAGATAGGTGGAATTCCACCTAGTCGGAACATCCAAAGAAAGCAGTCTTTTCCCATCCATCTCCAGATACTCAATGCCTTTCTTGAACTTTGCCATCCGAGCTGGGGATGACTTCACCCATTTCACGCAATCCCTTACCCTCTCCACAGCATCTCCAACCTCCTTCAATCCATCAGAAACAACCAGATTGATGATATGTGCCACACATCTATACTGCAAATACTTCCCTTCTAGCAAATCTGTTCCCCACCCCTTCATTCTCATGCACTGAACAAGAGCATCATTCGAACTGGCATTATCCATTGTCATGCAAAACAAACTCTTCACTTTCCATTCATGTAAACACTTCTCCAAAGTATCTGCAATATCCTTCCCCGTGTGACTAGTAATGGGAACAAAGCTAATAATCCTCTTCTGCAACTTCCAATCATCTCCAATAAAATGTGCAGTCACACACATAAAATTCAGGTTATTATCACTAGTCCATGTATCTGTAGTGATAGATATTCTTCCTTTGCACTTTGAGTTAAAAAAACTCAATCAATATCTCTTTCTTCTCCAGAAAAATGACATAACAATCAGATCTTATTGTTTGTCTTCCTGGTATCACAAACAAAGGCTGAGTTGTTGCCATAAATCTCCTAAACCCCTCCCGCTCAACAAATCTAAACGGAAGCTCATCCAAGATTATCATCATAGCTAATGCATTTCTAGATTTGTTCTGATCAAACTTCCATGGAGTAAGAGAGCCTACCTCACCATCTCCACTTCCAGGTTGATAATTCAATACCAACTGACCACTAGCTTCCTTCGCCTTCCTCTCGCACATTAGGTGATAACTCTTCAAACCACTAGTCCCATTGAAGGTTGAATGAGCTTTGATCATCCCTCCACACCGTTTGCATTTGCCGTATGGGTAGTCATCAACTAGCACACGGGTGTAAGGAATCCACCACTTAGATTTTGACTTCTTCCCCTTCCCCTTCTCAATTTTCTTCTGTACACCAGGTACCTCAACAGATGGTGGAGGATTTGCTGTAGATGGAGGAGGATTTGCCTCAGGAGGTGGATTTGCTGCAGCTGCAGGTGTATTTGCAGTAATGGAAGGTGTGCTACTAGTCGAAGCCTTCCCTTTTTTTGAAGAGCTTCGAGGAGGTAGAGAACTAGCTTTCTTCTTCTTACTACCTCCTCCACGGCTGCCAGCAGAAGCTTTCGTCCTACAAAAAACAACAAAATGAACACATAAAGTCATAAACCTCCTAAACAACAATTTCTCATCAATTTTAGGTCAATCAAACTCAATGATCAATTCTCATCAATTCAATACAAACTTGAAACTGCAATTCAATTAACTTATTAACATACATTTATAGATTTTGGCTAATTGTTATTGCTAAATTCACTAACATACATATTCAGAATTCAGTGAATGTTGACTGTTGTTGCCTGTTGGCTTGTTGTATGCTGTCTCCTTCGTCCCTTTGCTCTAAAAAATGCACAATCCAAGTTCTCTGCCCCAAACCAACTTGCTCCTTAACCAACTCTGAATATCAAAATGCAAGACAATTACATTCAATTCTGATTTCTGAATATCAAAATTCAAACACAAAATGAACTCAGAATGCACAACAAGTCAACAAGATTACTCAATAAGCTTTCCTAACAATATTATTAAACACCTAGAGTGCATTCTGTGCATTAAACAAGTGGAAAGAAATCGCAGCATGTTGTGCAGCAGCTAGCACCGTATATGAAAAAGAGTGGACTAATGAGGGTAATGATAGCTGTTGTTGGTTCCGACGACAACATCAACACCATATTATAACGCCAAGAATATATAATCGGTCCTTTTGGTGACCAAAGAAAGAACACAACAAGGCAGGCAGCTATCGTTGTAAAGCATTAGTTATGTTGTAAAGCATTAGTTATATCGAAATCCAGGCAGAGAAGGTGACTGCGGTAGTGGCTGGCCAAATGAGAAGGTGCTTACAGTCTACAGAGAAAGGCGAAAGCAACCAAATGAGTAGTTCCTTGAAAGGAATTCAGGTGCCCATTAACACGAACATACTTCCCATCTCTGTAACATAACCAAGTAAAGAACGTATCAGAATTTCTTACCAACCATGAGCAAGATCAACATTGTTATCAGTGAGATTAATACTAAGAACGTATCAAAATGCACAACAAGTCAACAATTACAAGTCAACAACTTACCTATTAATCACCGAGGGAAGGGAGACTGGGGTCTGGCCGTCTGGGAGGTTGAGGGATTCGGGCCAGGTGGCGGAGCTGTGAGCTGGAAGCTCGTCGGTGGAAGCTCGTCGCCGTCGTCGGTGGGGAAGCGGGAAGGTGGCGGAGCTGGGAAGGTGGCGGAGCGGGAGCGGGAAAGTGGCGTTGCGGACTTGCGGCCAGTCGGCGAGGGAAGTGGGAAGGTGGCGTTGCGGCCAGTCCGTCGTCGCCGTCGTGGCCCGTGGGAATCGCTGCGCTGCTCGTCGCCGTCGTCAGCAGAAGGAGCCGCCGGCGAATACGAGAAGAAGAAAAGAGGCTGCTCTCTGGTCTCTCAGTCTCTGCGCGAACGAAGAAGAGAAGAGAAGGGCGGGATGGCGGCTAGGTTTTAGGAATTAGCAATTAGGGTATAGATTTGGGGGAAAATGAAACGACGTCGTTTTGGGTTCAGTAAACGGTTTACCGATTTACCGTCGGTAAATACCGATACCGGATTCGGTAAACCGATACACCCCAGCCCACGCTCGGTCGCCGATACCGTCGGTAAACGGTTCGGTAAAATGGTAAACCGTTTACCGAAAAACCGAATCCCACCCCTATTAGAAACCGAACAATTTACTACTTTCTTGTTGCTTTTGCTTTTCACAACAATCACTCGAACTAGTTTGCTAGATAATAGAGAATCACGAAGTAAGCAGTAGATCTAGACCCCGGGTTGATAATTAAACTTGCCTGTTACTGCATTCCCGGACTGCGATTACACTTGGTCGCAGTTTGGTGTTGTGTTTTGGCGTGTCAAGTTTTTGGCGCCGTTGCCGGGGACCCTCTAGATTATTGGGGAAACGTGATAATTTGTTACTCTAGCTTTTCATTTATTGCACTTTCTTTTCTTTTCCACCCTTGCTTTTCACTTGGGTGTTATGTTTTTGTTGGTGCAGTTCTGAAACATGGATCCTCATGGCTTCTCCAACCATTGGGGGTATCAATCACCATCAGTGTGGTATTACCCCGAGACTTCCTGGAGCAATCAAGGAGGAGAAGACTATGGATTCGGATATCAGTACCAACCCCCCTACTATGGAGAACAACCAAACCCTTGGGAACCTCAAGAACAATATCCTTTTCAAGAAGAGTTCCTGCCACAACCAGCAGAGCCATGCTACACTTCACTGGAAGATCCGAACAAACAATTAAGGCTTCTCGTGGAGCAGTTTACTCGAGACACTGAGAGAGCATGCTCCAAGATGGATCTTCAAATCCAAGCCCTTGACTCTTCCGATCCCTCATTTCTCCATGACATGGAGCAGACTGTTCAGCGCTCAGCGAAGCAAACAGAGTGGGTGAAGCAAATTTGCTCACATCCTGCTCAAGATCACCTTTCTGCTACTATGCTAGAAGAGGTGGAGTATGACAAGGGCAACGGGGGCATTGAGGAGCCTACTGAATTTATCACAGAGAACTCCCATGATGATCATGCTCAGGAAAGTCCTCTGGTGGCAGATCACACCGTTCCTCATTTATGCTGTAGCATGTTGGGCCTGTGTGAGGAGAGCCAAGATGATCCCATTGAAGAAATTGCTTGGCGACTTGCTCTCCAATCTGTTCTGGAAGAAGAAGAGCGAGCAAGGATGAGGAAGGAAGTTGTGGAGGATGAGGAAGGAAGTAAAGAAGAGGTAGTTTTTGATCTTTTCCAAGGGGAGAGACCACATTTTGAAGAAGGTAGGGGGTTGTGGAGGCAATTGGCGTCCAGGTTGAGGATGAAGTTGAGGTGGAAGAGGCTTGCACCGGGCCTATGTTACATTTGATATCTCCACCAGACTTCGAGGAGCTGCTTAGCAAGGACCCATTTGCGGTGTCTCTTTGCCAGACTAAGACCACATCATCATCAATCCCTCTTGGTGGATACGATGGCGGTCAATCGAATATATCTTAT